GAGATAATCAATTGTCCTTTAAAATTAACTTCAGGAGTGCACTGGACTATGGTGATGGCACACGGGTGACTTGGTGATGGGAAGCCCACGGGGGTTACAACTGAGATGGAAAAAGGCACAAAATGATGTAAAAATAAACTATTATGTTAAAAAAAAAATAACTTCAGGGCCTTCCCCAGTGGCGCAGTGGGCTAAAGTGCAGCACTGCAGAGCTGGTTGAGCCACTTCAGTGTGCTGACCCGCAGGGCACAGCAGACCTCTCCTGCCTTGCCTGCTGCTCCCCTTAGCAGTGCACTTTGTCGGCTGCCTGTTTTACTCCTGCATTTCTGGCCTGTACTCCAGTTCTATATGAATAAATAAATCTTTTAAAAATTAATTTTAAACTAGGTAATATACTCCCATGTATGTTTTTCAAATATAACACCTGTGCAGGAGAGACCTCCCTTCACCCAGGCTGGGATAGCGCCCTGACCCCTTCCCAGCACAGATCTCCCCTGGCGGTTTCTTATGTGACCCCAGTGTGTTTTCTCTGCATATATTCTAAATAGTCATCCCCATTTTTTGTTGAAAGGCAACACTGAAGATACTGTTCAGTATCTTCTTGCCTTTTATTTTTAACTATACATCAGGTTAAGTTTCATATCAGTATTAGGGAACATCACATTCTTTTAAAAAGCTGCATAGTTATTCCATTGTATGAATTGATATCCTAAAAATACAAATCATATCTGTAATGTTGATAGCTGGGTGTTCTCCAGATACATGTCTGACTTTCAGAAAGGCAATCTAAGATGAAAACAGACTGAGCTAGATCTTTCCTGGGGGTGTATTTCATGCAGGCCAATAACCAATTGCTAGATTCTATGCTGGACTGTTCTGTCTTCCCTCTGTAGTAAGTATGAGGACGGAGCGTGGCTTAGGGCATGCCCAGTACCTTGCAGTATTAAAAAAAAAAATTAGAACAGGGCCTCCCTGGTGGCTCACGGTTTAAGTCTCATCATTCTGCAGTTATCTGCAGCCACTGAAGCACAAGTTTGATCCCAAGCCAGCGAGGTGACCCACAAGGTGCAGCATACCTCTCCTGTCTTACCCACTGCTCTCCTCAGCACAGTATTTCAGTCACTCTGCCTGTTCTATTCTGCTCCCCACTCTGTGTCTGATGACTCGTCTCTCCCCCTGCACCTCTGGCTGGTACCCCAGTTCTTATATGGATATATAAATAAAATTAATATTTTTATTTTCTGTTGTCTTGAAAGCTGACTGAGATGTAATTCAGAATTGTATTTTTCTAGCCTAGTGTCTACTTGTACCTTCAAGGTGATGTCACAGACATTAACTGTTCTGAGTGTCATCCCCCGTTATGGCTGTGTTTGCCCACCACCCAGTGAGCAGTGTTATACACCTGCTTCCCACCAGTAGGCTCATTGCAGCTTGGTTCCCCACTTTTGTTCTTTCCCGGAGTGTTTTGGGCCAGGGAATCCCAACTGTTGCAGATCCTCTTTCAGTAGGTGCTGTGGGTGGACAAGGGGTAGACGGAGAGGGGAGAGCCTCAGGGGAGGGGACTACTGCAGGAATCCAGACAGTTCGGAGGGCCTGGCTGGCCTGTGTGCAACTGGAAGGGGTGGACAGGCAGGGTTGGATCAAGAGAAACCACTGGACATGGTGGCTGCCTGGATGTGATTGATGTGAGGGGTGAGTCAGTGACAGAGAACATATTTTCACAATATGGTTTGCAGTAACCCCTCAGTTTCAAAGGCACAGGGGGACTGTAGGCACTTGAAGTTGAGCTGGGAATAGTCACTTTGCAAACAGCAGCCAAGGACGATGTGGCCATCATCTGGGCTGCCAGCGCCTACTTCCATGACCTAGATAATCACTCTGACATTTATGAACTCCAGCTGTTTAAGTTTTTATCCAGTGCTTCCTTTCTTTCAAAATGCTTATTGGCGCTAAGTGACTCATCCAGCCAAATCCAAGTTCTGAAATATTAATAGGTGGAAAGAGGGGAGAAGCCAAAGGGAGTGACTCTGGCATGATGACCTGTGTCAGCATGGCCCATTCTTTTGGTTTCTCGAGTCCCTGTCTGCTACCTGGCATCCTGAGCTCCGGGGAGAAAGGCCTGGGTCATTTGTCTCTGCCTCTGGCAGCCCCGGTCTAGGGCTTGCTGATTAGGACATGCTTATTGCAGGGTTTCTTGAATTTGTCCCAACAGCAACCTAATTTCGAATGCAGTAAAACTATTTGGTAATACAGGAAGACACATTTTTACTGTTGCTCAGTATATTTTCATACCAAATGTCTGTCACATCCTTTGAACCTCTTCAGTGTGAGTTCAAAGGTCCTTTAGGCTGGAAAAGTAGAAAACCAGACTGGTCTGTCTGGACCCAGTCTGGTCTGTCAGAACTAGGAGCCCTATGGCACTGAGCCTGAGACCTCTGACCCATGTTCCTAGAGATTAGTGATGAGGTGCTGGTCATTAGAAAATAGTGTTTGTGAGTTTCTGCAGATTGGAGCTGGTCCGTAAAAGAGGCCTCTGACCTCAGATTCTTGACTTGAGAATCCTGCGGGGATCTGGAGCACGATCTGCCCCACAGCCCTGAATCTGGGTTGAAGTTGGGCCCTCTGAGCAGGTGTCTCATCTGGATGCTTGCTGGCTGGGGCCCTCTGACCACTTAGGCCTCCTTATTTTAAGTTACTTATTCCTATTCTCATCTATAAAATGGGGTGCCTTCCCTAAAGTGCTTAACATTTCTAACTCTAAGGTTCTGTGATTTCTTGATTTTTTTTTTTTTATACATCTAAAATGGTGTATCCCAAAGCCCTGAGTTTGTATTTGATAAGGCTGAAGAGCAGGAGAGCAGTAACTTTAAATCTAGGTTTGGTTTTTACCCATTTAGATAGTCCTTTCTAACAGGTTAAGGGGATTTAACCAAAAGATGGGGCTGACATTTGAAACTCTTTTCCTGCACACATTTCTCTCTTTTGTAAAGGCTGAAGTGCCTATGTGGAATAAAAAAAATATTTTTAATTAGAAAAAAAATCACTTGTGCATGATAGGATTCATTTTAAAACAAGGAGGCTGCCACTTCCAGCAGGAAGTAGGCAGGCCCTCCCTAACAGTCTGAATTCAGAGTGTGGCCCTGGGAGGGGCTCTTCCCTGCGGCAGTGAGCTCCTTTCAGACCTGCTTGGGTCTGACTGCTTCTCCTGGAAAACATGTCCCAGTTCCTGTGCCGTACCCAGGATGGCCTACTGCAGACATCTTGATGAGATGGGGCCCCCCAACTCCATGCATGCAAAACAGAAGTTGCAACAGAGCACCAGCTATTAGGGCGAGGGACCAGGGTTCAAGGTTGGGGTGTCAGTCTGGGACCTCACAGCACATTCCTTCCTTCCCTCCCAGCATCTTAGGTCCTGCCTGATTCTCCTTGATGCTAGCACAGCTACCATTCCTATCCCAAGTGGTGTCTGTCCCCTCTAGCTTTCCTCAGGTGACCCGCAATGCAGATTCCTTTGTCACCTTATATCTCTGTGGGCTTTTATTGCTACTGATAAAGGAGAAGGGAGTTAAAATTAGCAAATGAAGGAAATATTAGCTTCAAGACATCTTACCATAAATGTTACATAGTAGTGCTGGAAGCTCATCTCCCCTTCCCTATGTTTTCTGCTCTACCCTCCCTTTTTAATACTTTTTGACTTTTCTCCTTGTGGGCTGAGCCCTTCTTTCCAGGACCTGTGATCCTGGACTCTCCACTCTCCCAACCCCTGATACTCCCACACCTCCCCTAACTCCCCCCACCCCTGCATCTCATTCAGAGAAACACCAAGTTTTGTTCTCAGTCAAAAGAAATCTGGCCTGGATGTTTTAGAGTGGAAAGAAGGAAATGAAAGGATGACAAGTGTCCCATAATATCTTTGTGGTGCTGGTGGGAGTGGGGCTGTGACAGGTACAGGTTTCATGGACTCCGCCCCCACTCCAGATACTGGAACTGCTAATCCCATCAATACCCAGGAGAAGCAGCTGGGACGTGAGGGCGGAGCTGAGCAGCCAGGTTGGGATAAAACCTGACATGTGGGCTCTGGGGGTCTCTGGACCTGGTGGTTCGTCGCTGATCGTTTGGCTCTCGATGGGTTTTCAGCGTGTTGGCGGAGTCCAAGTCAGCAGAACTAGTAGGACATTCTAGTTAACTTGTATTTCTCTCCCCCTTTCCCTGGGCTGTTCCTTTACCCTTCTCCTTGTAAATAAATCCATTATTGAACCCTTTTGTGTGTGTCTGTAATACGATTGAATCTTAAGTGCACGGGTGAGGACCCACAGACAGGCAACCCAATTCACATTGGGGTGCCCTGTAACAACAGGTTGACACAGGACGGAGGGGATTGGGACATGGGGGAGCAGAGAGGGAACAATGGATTTTATCTCTATGGTTATGTCTACTGCTCAAGCCCACCCTCCCCACCTCTCACAAACGGAGGTGGAAAGTGGTCTGGCTTTCAAGAAGTCATTTTTAAAATGATAAGTCTCCTTTAACTTTTAGTCTCTGCTATTTTTTTTTTTTTTTAAAGTAGGGATGGAGTTTGAATTTCATCAAATGTCTTCTCTTTACCTAATGAGGTGATAAGGTATTTGACCTGCTGGTAGAGACACTGGATTCCCGAAATGCCTTTATCTTAGCCCAGCACTGTATTGCTTAGCAGGACACACTCTTGTTCAGCCTGTTGTGGACTTTGATGAGATAGTGACTGACCTAGGATTTTGTTATGCTTGAATGAGACTAACCTCTTTTTTCTTTTCTTTTTTGGTTTATTGACTAAATGGATTAATTTTTTCATTTTGACAGGAACGAGTATGAAGGAGCCTAGTTCCCCCTCACTGCTATGTTTGTGGGAAAATGGGGTAGAAATGCAGTGAGCCAGCAGAAATGGGAGTTGCTAACATAAGTGTGTGCTGGGTGGATGCTTCAGAAAACTTCAGCGTTTAGTGTAGCCAGTGAGTCTAAGCATGCAATTTGCACCAGGCCTGTGCCTTTCAGCCATTGGCTGTCTATTGAAAAGACAAAGGCCTCATCAATGGATTTATGACCAGGAACTAATTAGTGCATCTTTATCCTTGTTCGAAGGTCTCAACATATGTACTAGTGGAAGTGCCACCTCCTGTGAAGAATGTCTGCTAATCCACCCAAAATGTGCCTGGTGTTCCAAAGAGGTATGTTGGTGGGAGTGGGGCAGCTGGGCAGCCCCACAGCACACACGTGGACTGTCCAGACTGTGTGCGGGGTCTGCAAGCTGCCTCTTTTGCTTTCTCCCAGGGAGCTGACAAAAGAAAAGCTGCATCTTTTTTTTATTATAATAGTTTATTTTTATATCATTTTGTGCCTTTTTCCATCTCAGTTGTAATCCCCGTGGGCTTCCCATCATCAGTTCATCAGTGTGCCATTACCATAGCCCATGCACTGCCCCTACCCCCCCCCATTTTTTATCCCATTCCCCATTCTACTTCCCAAAAATGTCTTTGATATATAGTTGTTCATTATTATTATTATTATTTGTTTTCCCCCTGGTCCTTTATGCTCCTGCTATGAGTGAAACCATCTGGTATTTTTCCTTTTCTTTCTGGCTTATTTCACTAAGCATGATCCTTTCCAGCTCCATCCATGTTGCTGCAAAAGGCATGTGTTTATCTTTTTTGATTGCTGAGTAACATTCCATTATGTATATGTACCACATCTTTTTCTTTTCTTTTTTTTTTTATTAAAAAGTTTATTTTTACATCGTTTTGCACATTTTTTTTTCATCTCAATTGTAATCCCCACGGGTTTCCCATCACCAAATCACCCCTGTGCCACCACCATAGTCCCGTGCATTTCCCTCCCTTTCCCCCCCCTTCCCCCCCCCCCCCCGTTTTTGATCCCATTCCCCACTCCATCCCCACAGAATGTCTCTGGTCTATGGTTGTTCATTATTTTTGTTATTTTCTCGCCTGGTCCATTATAGTCCTGCTATGAGTGAAACCATCCGGTATTTTTCTTTCTCTTTCTGGCTTATCTCACTAAGCATGATCTTTTCCAGCTCCATCCAAGTTGCTGCAAAAGATGTGTTTCTCTTTTTTGGTTGCTGAGTAATATTCCATTGTATATATGTACCACATCTTTCTAATCCAGTCATCTACTTTTGGGCATTTAGGCTGCTTCCATGTTTTTCCAATTGTAAATAAAGCAGCAATAAACATGGGGGTATGTACCACATCTTTTTAATCCAGTCATCTACTTTTGGGAATTTGGGCTGCTTCCATGTGTTTCCTATTATAAATAAAGCAGCAATAAACATGGGGGCTAGGAGTGGGATTGCTGGGTCTTATGGAAGCTCCATGTTTAGCAGTTTGAGAAACTTTGAAACAGTTTTCCATAGTGGTTGTACTAGTTTGCATTCCCACCAGCAGTGCAGGAGAGTTCCTTTTTCTCTACATCCTCGTCAACATTCGTTGTTGCTAGTTGTTTTAAGATGTGCCATTCTCACTGGGGTGCGGTGGTATCTCATTGTGGTTTTGATTTGCATCTACCTTATTACAAGTGATATTGAACATTTCGAAAAGCTGCATTTTAGTGACTGAAGTTAAATTGCATCTCTGCATAGTATTGAATGTATTGATCCTGTTTTAGGGAAACAGCTTTCCTTCCCTTTAGTGGGAAAATCATCAGTGACTCTTCTGTAGTTTTCTGCTATTTGATAGAAGATTTGAGCTTGTAAAAATTAATCCATTTTGTCATGAGTTAGAGAGTGTACAGGTAGGTAGTATGTTTGGCAGGTGGCATGTTGGCCGGTGCCAGTCATCTTGCTGTGGCTTGTGTGAGGATGAATATCATGAATTGGCCTTTGTGGAGTTTGGTTTCATTGGAAAAAATGGTTGTTGCTTCCATTTGAAATGCGACTGTAGACTCTGCCAGAATGACAGGGGTTATTTCATCTGTTTTCTTCAGTGCTGTGCCCCAGCACCCAGGATGGTGCTTGGCACACAAGGATTGCTCAGTGAACACTGAGTGGCGATTGATGGGTTGGCTTTTTGTTGCATGTTTGCTGTGCAAGCCACACTCACCTCTTTGTCTCCCCTGTTTTGTACTCCTTCGATACTACTTACAAACCCTAATTGAGTTCATTTGTTTTTATGTCTGTTTCCAACTAGATCATCATCTCCTTGAGAACCTAACCATGTTTTATTCACCTTGGCATCCCCTGCTGCAGCCAAGAGTCTGGCAGGAATTCCTATTTGATGAAAGAGGCTTGCTGAAAAGACATGGAGTCAAAATACCAAAGTTTAAGCCTCAGTTTTGCCATAATTTACTCTGGATTTCTTGATGTGTAAAAAGATGTCAGGTCCCACCCGCTGGCATTCTGGGAGCCTAAAATGAGATGCGTGCTCGAGAGGACTTGTGGATGGAGCTGCTGAGTAACCGAGCACGCAACCGAGGAGCTGTCAGAGAACTGCTGGTGTCATCCAGGGATGTTTTTTAGTGACGTGTGAACTGTGGCGTTTATAAACCAGGGTCGGTTGTCCACTTTAAGTTTTTTCTTTCTGTACTAGTCCATCTGAGAGTCTGACTTCCTGAGAGTGGTGGGAAGTGGAGAATTCCATAGTCCTGGCCCATGCTTGGGTTCCCTCTCTCGCCCACATTGCTTAGACAACACTTTGTGCATTTGAGAACATCCCATGATGCCCGCACTGGAATGCGAGAATGAGCTTTCTCTAAGGTCCAAGTGTGCTTAAGGAGCTGGGTTTGGAGAGTTCAGAGATGGTTTGATTAGCGCCTATCCCTTAGCAAGACAGAGTAAGTGTGGCCCAGGGCCTCCCTACACATAACTCCAGGGACATCATCAAAGAATTAACATACCTGTCTAGAGTATGAATTGTGTGTAGTTGAGGGCTGGTGCAGAGTGGACAGCCAGAGAGGCCCAGGCCCCCAACCAGTGCATTCTTACGGGTTCTGATAGAGGTTGCTGCATACCACCGTAGAGTAATCCCAGATCACATTCCACAGGGCCTTCACTGCTTGAGATCCCATAATGACTTCCTTATATTACTTGAGGTGGGGGTAGGGGATCCCTCACTCTACATTCAATATCCCTTGTAACCTAATTCCACCTCCTCTCCCTATCCCCCACCTCATTACTACATACTCCCACGGGTATCTGCTTTGAGGGCTTGCGTCTGCCAGTGTCCTCGCCGCCCTGTGTCCATTGCTGGCCTCCTCTCCCTCGCTCCCTTGCTATGAGCATGACAGCCTGGCTCTCTCATCTCTGTTTTCTAAAATGATTTACCTGGAAGCTTCAAGCTTGCCCCTGGCTTCAGGAACACAGTTGCGAGGCTCTTCCCAGCTCTGAGACCAGGACACATGGGCCTGCCAGCTCTTGTTCTTTGTGATGCTTCCAGCCCATCCTAGCCAGCCTTCACCCCACTTCCTGGCCATGTTCAACACTTACAGTGCTGTTTATTCTTCACAGCATAACATACAGCAAACTCTGGCAGTTCACTCTCTATCCATCTTTTTTAAAAGTGGGAATCTGTCTCTGCTCTAAGACTGTTTCACAGCCCAGCTAGCTGTAAAGCCAATGTGTGGATGCTTTAATGGCAAGGCCTCAGGCAGACCACATTATTTCCACTCATGTTTTCTGTCTAAACCAGTTGTGTCACATCACCTAAGTGCCGTGGAACAGGAGACATAGTCAAGCTGTGCCCTAGGTGGAGGAAGGAAGGGAGAGGGGATGTGTGAGGGCAGCCTGTGCTGTGGGCAGGGGCCAGTGTGGTTTGCACCTGGACAGTGGTTTGGGAGACGTAGGCAAGGCTGAGGGGCTGTGCTCCCTGCAAGAATAGAAATCAGGAGAGGAGACAGGGTGGCGGTGATGGCTGGAGGGGATTGCTTGTTGGTGCTGGGGGGCAGGGGAAGCTGTGGCATGAGGTGAGAGTGACCGGGTGAAGTGACTGGGCAGCACAGGCTGCTGAGATACAGGAAGAAGGATCAGGTGGAGGGGCTGCCCTGTGGGGAAAGAACGGTGAGGCCTGGGGCATTTGGATGGGCAGAAGTGGGGTAGACCCGAAAAGACTTGATGAAGATAGATGTGGAGAAGAGGAATGAAGGGCTCACAGGCCTGGGGGCAGGGGTGGGGAAGAGGAGAGTGGGGGCTGGGAGCAAGACCACCAGGTAGATTGTGGTAGAAGGGAAAGTAGATTAGACATTCACACCTGCATTTTCCTTTGAGCTGGCGGTTGGGGGACGAAAAACATGAGCATTTAGTCCAACTGATGATAAAAGACAGATTTTTCTTTGAGAGAATATCCCTGCGGTTAGAGTGATCTTGGTCTAGTGCAGACATTTCATAATACTTATTCAGTGATGTAAATGAGCCAGCAGAAAGCTGATAGAGGTCTTTTTCCCTCCCTCTGACAGGGAGAGGCCTGTAGTATGTTACTGGTGCACAGATTTGGGTGTTTGTAGTTATCTTCTCCCTTCCTTCCCCCAAGCCCATGAAGGCACTGCCCTTCCAGGAATGCAGCCTCAGCTGGTCAGAGGCCTTGGCCCTGCCATCTCCCTTCTGGGAGAAAGGCCAGCCTCAGCGGGCAGCCAGTCACCCTCCTTTGCCCCTTTCTCCTGAAGGGTCTCCGTTGTTTACCAGTCTGTTTCTTCCCTCTTCATCCCAGGCCTCAGGCAGTCTGCCCCCTTCCTGCCTGGCTTCCTCATTTCCCTGGGCCTGTAGTGTCTCAACTCTTCTACCCTGCTGTTTCAGAAACAAACAAAAGCCGCCCCCCAAAGAGCAACCCACTTCTTTCTAAAGGCAGTAGCAGCAGACAGGGCTGTGTGCAATGTAAGGGGGTGCTCTGGGAGCAGGATGTGCTGGGAGCGACTGAACACAGGTGACAGATGAAAAGAGATGAGGCAAGTCCCCAGAGCAGAAACCCCACTGTATCCTTTATAACAGGTGACGAGCAGAGAGGGGCAGTCAGGCTACACAGAGCCTTTTAGCAAATTAACAAATTAAAAGCCCTCTAAAGAATAAGAAGCCATCTAAATTCAGGATGCCCCCCTCTTCTTTTATATATTACCACATATCGACTCAAAGCTATAAATGGCGTTTGAAGTCCCTGCTCCCATCCTGCCACTTCCCTTGGTATTTTGCCTGTAATGCAGTTCCCCCTCAGCCCACGGAGAGCTGATGAAGGCCTTTCTGGAAACCACAATTGCACACTTCGTTCATTTACGGAAACCTGCACCAGCGCCAAGCCTGGGCACCCCTGCAAGGCAGCTGCACTGCTCCCCGTTCAGAGCCCACTCTGCTGCTAGCCCTCATTTCCCTGTGTGAGATGAACTCCTGCTCTCTTCCCATAGCTGTTTTTCTGTACACTGAGGCTATTTTATTTATATTCTGCCTCTGCTATGGCCATGTCAGACCTGAGCAGGTGAGCCCCTGAGCCCGACAAGCCCAGGCCAGCTGGTCCACCCTGTTTCAGAGAACGCCAGACAGCAGACTGGCCTTGCAGGCCCTCAGGCAGCTGACTCCCCTGACTATCCCTAGCTTTGTAAACTGCTTCATCAGAGCTAAGCTGGACCATCTGGAACCCTTCGCTTTGAAATCTTATCATGTTAACTTGGAATATCTTTTTACTCCCTGTCCTGTCAAGTGACGTTGAGAGTCACTATATTTATGGTGCAGTCTCTGAGGATGTGAGGATGTTGACAGGGAAGAGCTACAGGGGTTTAATATGCAAAATAAAAGTCAGTTGTAAAAAAAAAAAAAAAAGAAAGAAACCTCAAAAAGATATTGCAGAGACCCAGGATAACTCATCTTGTCTTACTTATGTAAAAATACCAAGAAGTCGGGGGCTCCCTGCTGGTGCAAAGGATTAAGTTGCAGCACTATGAAGCTAGCCACAGCCTCTGCTGCATGAGTTCACTCCCTGGCCAGGGAGATGACCCACATGGCACAGCAGACCTCTTCTGTCTCACTTCTTGCTCCCCTCAGTAGTGTATTTCAGTATATCTGTCTGTTCTGCTCCCCACTCTGTCTCTGGTGAATCCTCTCACCCCTCCCCTCCCCCAACATCTCCGGCCTAGACTCCAGCTCTCGTATGCATAGAATAAATGGATCTTTAAAGAAATATACCACAAAATCTTTTTGACTTTTGGTCTTGAGTCTTTTTTGTTTCTTTTAAAGATTTATTTATTTATGCATACAGAACTGGGGTGCAGGCCAGAGGTGTGGAAGGTGAGTCTTAGGTGGATACTAATGGACATTGACTAGTCTTTGGTGAGTTCTTCTCTGTGTTAGTGCCTGTGCCAACAGTCTGATTTCTAACATAGCAGTCAGAGGAAACTTACCTCGTCTGTGGCTTTTTAGCAAAGTGTTACTGAGGGATCAGTTTCCTAACTGACTCCTCCGCCCCTTATTGAGATTGTCGATTTGAGCACTGGTGTCCAAGTAGCTAGAGGAGGTGATCTTATTTTCTGCATGTAGCAGTAAAAGGGTTTTCAGAGAATCCTGGCTTGGCTTTGCCACATGATTATTCCAGCTTAAAAACTCCTGAGCCTTCCTGTTGGTGCAGCAGGTTAAAGCACAGCACTGAGAAGCTAAAGCCACTTCAGCATGAGTTCGATCCCTGCCCCAAAGGTGACCCACATGGCGTGGCAGACCTCTCCTGGCCCGCCCACTGCTCTCCTCAGCAGTGTTCTTCATCAGCTGGCCTGTTTTGTTCCCCACTCTGTCTCTGGTAAATGAGATATACATTGTAGTGGTACTTACACTAGCATAATCTCATAAACCTATAAACCTAAATCCTGTATCATATGAAAATATGATGATAGATGATAGAGCCATGCTGAAATTATCAAGGCTGTGTAGAAATTTCAACCCCCACCCCCACAACCTCTGGCCTGTACCTCAGTTCTGTGTGCATAAATAAATCTTAAAAAAAAAAAAACAAAACTCCCACAATGGAAAATGACCAATTCTTATGGACAGTATATTTTATAACAAAGCCTATTATTTCATGTTTAAATTTATGGCCCAAATTCTTGGTTGCTGTACACTAGATTGGGTCATCCTGATGCCACACCTTCTCTTAAATCTAATTCAAAAAAATAAATAATTTTCTTATTGTTCAAACAACAATAAAGACTATAAGCAAAGTATTACTTTAGTCCCTCAACCCTGACATCTCAGCTATCTACTTATAAAACCTTTTTCCTTTGAGTCCTAGTGCAGGTATAAGTGTTCTCTGGGTTTTTTGTTTTTTCCTTAGTTGAAAATTTTGAAATTTCTACATAGCCTTCATAATTTCAGCATGGCTCTATCATCTGTCAGGGTGATATGCTATATTTTCCATATGATACAGTATTTAGGTTTACAGGTTTATATGCTAGTGTAAGTACCACTACCACTACACTCTATATCTCCTTGTGGACTTTTCTCTTTCTTGTGATTTATTCTCTTCTTGTGGTAAATCCCTAGGACTGGCCTCTGGGTCAGGGCACAGTGTACATTGCCACATAGTTCTCAGAGGTTGTGACGGCCAGTGCCTGCAGAAGTGAACAACTCAGGAGTTAACTCCTGGTTGCCTTTGTTACAACTGCTCACCTCTATGTAGAATTGAAAAAACAGTTGTTTAACTCTTGACCATTTGAGTTAATTTCCCTTAACTAACACCTGGACAGGTGCATTTTTTAAAAAGCATTTTTATTATTAAAACAACAACAACAACAACAACAAAAGACCATGAAAAACAAAAACAAAATGAAATTCATGGGTCCAAAGGGTGTTTTGGTAGAAAATCTCACAAGATCGCCAAAAAGATAATAAAATAAAAATTTCACAATGAAATCGATGCGTTTCTAGCTTACAAAATGCTTGCACATCTTGCACTGTAGATCATACTGGGTGAGGCGTTGGGATAGAGATGGCTGTTTTCTCTTCAGACAATGAAGATGGGATGGTGAGGGTTTACTGTCCAGCAGACAGTGGTGAGTCCACCCTCCTGGGTGTTCTGGAAGCACACCCTGACCACTCCTGCTTTCTTCCTCTTCTGCATCTAGGACTTCGGCAGCCTGCGGTCAGTCACCTCCCGATGTGACTTGAGGGCAAATCTGGTCAAAAACGGCTGTAGCGGCGAGTTTGAGAGCCCGGTCAGCAGCACCCAGGTCCTGCGGAGTCTGCCTCTCAGCAGCAAGGGCTCGGGCTCCGCCAGCTCAGACGTCATCCAGATGACCCCGCAGAAGATTGCCGTGACCCTGCGGCCTGGTGAGTGTGGGGACCGTCCCGACACGTGCACAGTGGAAGAAGGGCCTTTGCAACCTCCATCCCACTTCCCGCCTCTCAGCTGGGCAGCTCTAGAGCCCATGTTGAGTGGGCAACATCTGTTCTTTTGTGATGGACTTATTTTGCTCAACATACTATCTTCGAGGTTTGTCCATGTTGCAGCATGAGTAGAATTTCTTTCTTTCCTAAGATGAATAGTAACTGAATTTGCCACATTTTATTTACTCATCCACTGGGTGGTTTCCATCATAGAGAGGAAAAACTTTTCTCTTTCCTAAGGTTTTTATTGTTCTAATAATTCAAGTGACAAAACAAATGAATAAGCAGCCAAAAAACAAAGTTAATTTTGTGTGCATGGAAACCTACAGAATGACCAAATTATCTATGTATATGTACCTTTTCAACAAAGAAAAAATAAATTTATGAAGAAAAGACAAGACCAAGAAGCTATAGGCTTAGCTCTCAATTAGCAAGGAAGTGAGCAGAGCGTATTTACACAGCTGTTTGGGCCTGAATTCCTGATTCTGATACTGCTCTCCTCCTGGTATGAGTTGGGGAGGTGGGGTCTGGGGGTGTGGAGATACCTTTTACAGGGGAGATTTACCTCCTCACGCTGGCCACTCCCCAAGAACCTTTAGTTCAAAATACTCAACATGCTGAAGTGCCCTGTGTTGGGTTGCCCTGCACCAAGCCTCATAACTACCTTTTGGCTATGGTGATTAATATGGGCGGGTGCTGGTAGGTTAACTCCTTAGTTAATGCAGCTTTCTCAGGGAAAGTGCTGCTTCTAAGAATAAAAATATTTTTTTCCTGTCAGCAAATTCCATTACAGGCAGTGGCATTCTGTAGGGACAAACTTTGGAAGTGGAAATATTTTGTCTTATGATCCTAGAGCCACTGCAGATTCTAAGAGTTGATGGTAATATAAGAAACTAGATTTTGCATGCGTTCTCTGTGCTAAGTACTCGACCTACCCTCAAAAAGCTAATAGCATTTTACACAAAAGAAAGTAATCTGTTGAAGGTCTCCAAGTTTGGAGTGGTGAATCTGGTTAATCCCAGATCTTTGTGAGTGCAAAACTCGCGGTTGTGTAGCTCACAGTACCTGCTGTCTCATTTCTTTGTAGCAGAATCCGTGTGATGCTGTAGAACTAGGGCTAAACTAGGAAAATATCCTTTGTTGGGAGGAGGCAACTTTTCCTCAAATTCCATTGATTTTTATCGTCTTTTCTTCTATCTCCCTCTCTAGGAAGCCTTTGGAAAAACTTTCTGGATGACTTTTTCCTTACGATGTATTTAGACTCTGGGGCAACGGGGTGCCATGGAGAGATTTTAGGTCTGGTGACTCTTCTGAGTTCTAGTTGTGCCCCTGCCCCTGACCCTCAGGCCCTGGGCAGTCACCGCACTCAGTGTCTTTGTGACTTTTGCTCCTCACAGTCATGTTTAGAGGCTGAAAGGACACCTTTCTTGTGTAATTGTACTTGAAAAAGTCAAAGTTAATATTTTCCAAGAGTAAAGGCCAAAGGTGCAGATTGAGGAGTAAGCCGGACCTGAGTCTGGGGATTCTCAGTGTCTCAGAAATGGACGTAGCCCAGAGCTGAACTCAGAAAGAAGATCTTGATTGTGTCTGTTGCTGTTGTTGCTAGGAAGAGCTTAGGGTGCTATAGGTAATAAATTATATTTGCCTATTGAGTTGTCATGGAAAAAGAAGCGATAGAAGGGACTAAGCAGATCCTGCTGGTTAAAGAAGCACAAAATGCCGGATGGCCCAGGGATTAAGTTGGGAGTAGTAGAAGTTACTATTTTTACAAGTCATCTCACTGACACTAAGGGTTTTTTTTTTTGTCTGGGCAGATGCCAAGTTGAAAGAGAAAAGGAAGGAAGCCCTTACAAAGCTGAGTGTGAGATAAATGACAGACATAAGTCGACCGAGCCTTTTTGTGGGCAAATATTCAGAAAGGTCCCCTTCTTGTGTGCTGATGGGCTCGTGCTCAATGACCTTGACCTAGAAGGGGGTGAGGATCAGATACTAGAGCACAGCAGTAGCTCGGGTGTTGCAGAGGCTGGCACAGCTGCTCTCCAGGAGTTAGAGCACGGAGCCCTGGAAGGGCTGCTTTCAAATGGTGTGAACGACGTCGTTCTTCTCAGCCGAATAGCAGTATAACAGAAACGTCTAGGAATCCTTGAAAAATCGTCCACTTTAACAAAGTGTTGTTTCTGATAAATCCTCTCTTTATTCACATATGAATAAAGTTCATATACTAAGAAGGTACTTATAATTGTGTACTGTTTTCACTTAAAAACCTTTGGAAAAAAGGACCAAATTTCCTATCTCCAAAAGTGCTTAGTTTTAGGCTTATCATTGAGAGAAATCTTTGACTTAAAATTTTGGAGCTTTTCATCTGGAATAACTCTGAGACTTGGTGTTCTCTCTTAAGAAATATCCTTCATGATAAATAATCCTTATTCTTTAGGGTAGACTGAGTTTAGAAAAGAAATGGAGATTATGTCAGTTTTTTTTAAATTTAGATATGAGAGAGTATTATATTAATTTCAGGTTTATGACATAATGACTTGATCCTTATATATATAATGTGAAATGCTATCCATGCTCTACAATATTTTCTCAGTACTTATTTATTTTATAACTAGAAATTTGTATGTTTATCCCATTTACCCATTTCTCTCTTATACACACACACGCTCTTCCAAAAGTTTACAACTTTAATGCCAATTTTTAAAATCAGAATTAAATTGTGACTATGAGGCAGAAAGGACTTGTTTTGCTTGACTTGTCGACTGACTTAAAATAGCTTTCAAAGAGAAAAGATAAAGAACTGATTTGAATGAAAGCAGCTTCCTCGGACAAAGTTCTCTTGGCACTAAATGTACATTCAATACATTTTTATACCTAAATTTCAAAATATGCTCAAAGCAAACAAATCAATCTTATTTGGTGCAAGCACCTCTTCTCCTAAACATTAAGATAAGCTTCTGGGCCCTCCCTGGTGGTGCAGCGGGTTAAAGCACAGCACTAAGAAGCTAAAGCCACTTCTGCATGAGTTCAATTCCTGCCTGCCCCGGAGGTGACCACATGGCGCCGCAGACCTCTCCTGACCCGCCCGCTGCTCCCCTCAGCAGTGTACTTCTTTGATCTGCCTGTTCTGCTCCCCACTCTATCTCTGGTGAAGCCTCTCGCTGCCCCTGAGCCTCTGGCCTGTACCCCAGTTCTGTATGCACAAATAAAAAATAACAATAATAATAAAAAAACATAACAGTTTCCTGTAGTGGAAATAAAGTAAGAATGAGAGTCTGTGTGTATACACATGGTGACATGCGTGCATTGTGTGGGTTCTGGTCCCGTGGAGGATGTGTGACATACATTCCATTGCCAGGAGGCTAAGCGATGATGGGGGGCTGGCTGCCACCCCCATACAAGCTGTGAGGACGTTTAGTATTCCACTGATTGTGTATAGATGCCGCACAGTTCAGCGGGTGACTCTTGGTCGGTTTTCCCTGTGGGGTGGGTATGATGATGCTGCTATGAGTGTTTACCTTCCTGTGTTTGTTTTGCTGCTAATGCTCAGCTTGGGGTTAGAGATTAATACAGTTGATCTGATGGAAATAGGATTTCTTAAATGTTCAGAATCCTGGACTGTGTTTCTCAAGCATAGAAACACTTGCCTCTGAAATTTTTGAGAATTTAAAGTTTATAAATAGAATTGCAGCCCCCACCTCGCCTCACTGATTTTTTTTTTTTTTTTTTTTAGAGAAAGAAGAGATTGTTGCAGTTAGCAACATAGTTCTAGTTTACTAAGTGCACATTTATTTCAAGGTAATCTCTACCCACCGCCCAAAAAAAATCCTCAGGAGAAGGCATTCAGGGATGTAATGATTGGTTTTTCCATTATATGTGTTTAGAAATGCTTTTGTGAATCCTCCCTTGTCTGGTTCCCCCACACCTTCTAGTACATATTTGTTGAGTGAAATGTAGTCCTTTTGGTCAAGGACAAGTCTGAACATAATATGAGAGATACTTCAAGCAGGCAAAACTGTTGTTCTAGGATGAGAAGGAAAAAAGAAAGAGAAAACAACACATTTAAGTAGAATTTTTAAATGTTTATCTTCAAAATTGAGCTATAACTCGCATGCCATAAAATTCGCCATTGTAAAATGTACAATTTAAATTGGTTTGTAGTATATTTGCAAAGTTATGCAACAGTCATCTATTTAGTTCCATAATATTTTCACATCTGAGGAGGAAGCCCTGTGCTTATTAATAGCCACCCCTATCGTCTCTCTCTTTACCACATTTAGCTCCTAACAACCACTCATCTGTTTGTTCTATCTCTGGACTATTCTGGACTATTTCTATAAGTCATATAATATTTCTATAATTATATTATTCTGGACTATTTCTATAAATAATACAATGTGAGATTTTGTCTGGTTTTTTTGACTTAGCAAAATATCTTTGAGTCATACATGTTGTAGCATATATGAGGACTTAATTCCTTTTTATGGTTGAATAATATTCCGTTGTTTATGTATAGAGATCTACCACATTTTAGTTGAACATTTGATCTGTTCCTACTTTGGGGCAAGTTTGACTAATGCTGCTGTCAATATTCATCTTCCTGTGTGTGTGTGTGTGTGTGTACATATGTTTTCAATAATCTTGAGCAGATAGCTAAGACTGGAGTTGTTGGATGACATGGTAATGCTATGTTTGACTTTTTGAAGAGTTGCCAAACTTTAAGCAGGACTTTATGTAAAAGTAGGATCACGTTTTCCATTTCATTTCTAATCCTGGAAATTGTATATCAGGATAATCTTCTTTAAAAGTACTTAACAGGAGAGTGGCAAAAAACAACAACAACAACACCCAACTTAACAAAGGACATACGATCCTTACGAAAAGATATAAACTTTAGAATAAAGTTTATTGAAATGGTAAAAAGCTAGAGATCATTGTAAAAACAT